AGATTGCAATGATTGGCTGACTTTGGACTTGAAAGCTACGTCTGATTCATTCTTGGATGGGAGATCTTCAGAGTTTTAAGATAGCTGTGAAAATTCTATAAAATCCCAGAGGAAGGCAGGGTAAACTACTTTTTATTCTTACCAGGAAAAGTATATGGATGTGTCCATGAAGTCACCAGGAATTGAGTCTGACTTGAAGGCTTTACTACATGTATACTGTGTGCCTGCTTTTTTACCTTTCTGCTACTCCTGATGTTATTTCATTTAAATATATTAATTTAGGTTTGTGAAATCTTATATACAGTATGCTTATGATCTTAACATTTTGTACACATGAAATTGTTCAACTGTTCTGGTTTAGTGTACTCAGAGTTAAATATTCCTTTTACCTGAAGTAGCTTTAAACATAGCTACTTTTTGCTAGACTTCTATGGCCACAGTCTGTAACTTATTTTTCAGGTTTATATGAGAATCCCCCCCCCATCCCTTTGTATGCAATCCCCAGAGCCATCCAAAAAGTATTGCTGAATTCTAATGTTTTTATGAAGGAAGGGAGAAGTTAAATATTAAGAGTAATCAAATATTAAGGTTTAAATCTTTTTCCTTTTTTTTTGACTCAGTCATACCCAATTCTATGCCCCCAAATGGCTTCCAGAACATACCCTAAGTCCATCAAATGTTGTATATGCCTGCTGCTTGAGATAATAATAATCTGTTTTACAGGTTATTGGACATATAAAATATAATGGAGAATAAACTCCCTTGGTGTTTGAACGAAGACAGTGATTGCCATCAATATTTTAAGAAATAAACACAGATCCATCCAGCTGTGCTTTTGGCTACCATGTGAAGTGTCTCAGTGTGTACTTATGCATAGAGTTATTATATACCAAATCAGAGTTTCCTTCTGTCTCATGTTGTTATGTCGTGGGGAGTGGGGAGAATCCTTACCCATGATACGACAGACTTAAACTTGCCAAAGGCTATAATGTTCAACTCCTTGTTATCAATATTTTTTTCTAATCAGAATATAATATTGTACAAAAGCAAATAGGACTGAATGCTTTTTTATGATTAAAAGCTACCTGTATAATTATAGGGTTCATTAACACCATGTTAAGTTGTGGTTTATCCATGGTTTGTTAAATTCAATTGATAGGGATCACAATGGTTTATAAATTATAATAGCTAGGTTTGCACAACATGCTAAACCATAGACAAGCAATGTGTATATATCTAATTCCTGGTGATTTCTCTATGACGTGCCTAGTGAATCATGATTCACTAACCATGATTTGTTCAATCCCTCTTCTTAAAACTTATTCAGCACTCTGAATTGTGAACTAATAAAAGAGGCCATGTTCTCAAATGCTACACTGAAATGCCATTGCCTAGTTTAAAGTTCAGCATTTGTACAAACCCTGCCAATCTTTTAAATTTTTATATTCACCCAACCCTGTGGTAGTCCTTGACTTACAACAGCAATTGAGCCCAAAATCTAAGTGCTAAGCAAAACGGTTGTTAAGTGAATTGTACCATATTTTACAAACTTTTTTTGCCACACTTAAATGAATCTGTAGTAATTCAGTGAATCACGCAATTGTTGGGTGAATTTGGCTTTCCCCATTGACTGCTTGTTCAGAAGCCAGCTGGGAAGGTTCTAATTCTGGGACAGTGCATGGGTCAGCTGCCAGCTTATACTTGCTTGTGCTTCACTGCTAGGCAGTGACAGACTGCCATGAACTGTGGGGAGAAGGAAAGAAGGGGGAAAGTTTTGGGAAATGAAAGTGCTGTATTTCCTGAAGACGTTGCCTCAAGGTCACCTATATAGAAGGAGGGGGCTGCATACCAAACTATGCTTGAACTCACTGTTATGAAAACATCTTGCCTGAACCTGACTGGCTATCCTGAGGTGAGCAATGAGAGACAGTAATGGGCACGATTTTCAGTTCTGGCTTTATACTACTGCAATACACTTGATCTTAATAAACTATACCTTTCTCAACAAATTGAGCCAAGGATCATCAAGTGCCTGAATTTTGATCATGTGACCACAGAGATGCTGCAGTGGTCATAAGTCACTTGTTTCAATGCTGTTGTAACTTTGGATGGTCACTAAACAAATGGTTGTAAGTTGAGGACTACCTGTATTGTTATTCCTATCGTGTAAAACATTGAGGGTGTTTCAGAAGCAAATACCTCCCATTGAAAATGTTACATTTGATAGACATATCCTGCTTTTCCTCCAGGACTCCATGGTGATGTTAATAGCATTCTCTTCCATCCACCACTCCCCACTGAAATATGCTGATCTGAGAGAGAGAGAGAGATGGGCTGTTCCAATGTCACCCAGTGAATTTCTATAGCAAAGGGTGGGTAGGACCCCAGGACTCCCTGGTCATAGTCCAGCCCTTTATCATATATCTGTATTTTAAAATCTTGGCAACTTTAAGATGTGTGAATCTCAGTTCCCAGAATTCCCAAGCCAGCATGCTGGCTGGAAAATTCTGGATGGTAAGTCCATACATCTTAAACTTGCTGATGCTGAGAAACATTGCTATAACATCATTATTGGTAACGGAGCTAATGGTAAATTTATATTTGTGCCAAAGTATGAAAGAGACTGGACTATCTTAGTTACACATCAACTTTATCCTAACAGGTTTGTTTGGTTCAATCTACCTGACATTGCCAAAAAAAAGGCAAGTAATTACTTTTCCTCAAGTAATAACCAATGAACTGAGGTAAGGAAATTACTTCCCTCAAGTAATGACCTATGAGGAGCTTCTGCTTATTTTTACTGATAATTAAAAAAAAAAAAACTATTGAAAAGAAAGGAATAAGAAAGGGCAAATGAAGGCAGACTGATATCTCCGATGATCCTGGTTGGGAGGAGATGTTTGGCATTTGTTTTTATAATGTGTACAGAATGGTTTTCTTTATTTCCATATCCACTTATTTCTTTCCCTTGTTTCATCTCCATCCAATTTGTTTTTCCCTTCCCTGCCATTTCCTCTTTTCCTATCTTGTTTGCTCTTCTGCTGGAAGAAAGGGAGGATATGCATGTTGTATATTTTGTGTGTCTTGTGTATATGAGATTGATTTGATACATGCAAATAAGAGATCAATTAAATTAGTAAATAGCTATCTTGTTCAACAGGAAATTTTAAGTAATAGGTATTAATTCTGTGTAAAATATATTTTATACTGGACCTATGCTTTTGGGAGGGAGGATATGGCTTTTGGAAATACCTGTGTGTGACCATATAGTAAATTCCAAAAGTTGTTTCAAAGTGTGAACACCCATCTGCAGTTCTTTAAAGCAGCCCACTCACCTGTCTTTTGCATGAACATAGTATATTGTGGTTGGGTTCATACACATTGAACTAATCTGGTTTGATTTTGGTTTAGCATATTGTTCAAACTAGTCAACAGGATTTGTAAACTATGGTTTAGCATTGTGATCTTAGCCACTTGTAGCTTATTCAAACCATGATAGTAATCTTGGCTTACTGAAGCATATAAACAAACACTGAGAACAGACTTGTTACTCAGATGCCCCTATCATAGTTTGCCTCAAATGAATTTATTTAAAATTATACAGGTATAATTACTCAAGTTATTACCAAAAAGTTATAATTCCCTTTTAAACAATAATTATAAAGAGACCACTCATTTTGGAACATTGTTGTTCATTAAAAATCTGTTTACAGTTCTGTGGAGATTCATGGTTTCCTATTCTTCGCAGAGGAAAAGGATGTCTTAAGTTAATATTATAATCGTTATAATGAACTAAGAACCTCCCATTTCTTATAATCGTTAGAACAAGGCTAAGTGCACATATTGTGAGAAAAGGAAAGAAAAAATAATTTATATATAATCCAGGGAGTGGGGATTAAATAAGTAGCTGTTGGATGTCTTGATTTCTATTTGATCAATAAATCATCAAGTGTCTTAAGTGCTTTATTCACCATTAAATTAAATGAAAAATACTTTAACCTACCTCCCTTGTGTCAGCAAATAAAGCTAATAATATTTTTGGTAATATTTCAATTTAGGTATTTAAGTGCAGCAAATGCCTTGGGACTTTTTTCTATTGGAATAAACAGAAAATGGTCTTCCAGTTTAAATGTAAAATGTTTTTAGAGGAAAGAGCTATTTAAATAGACTATGTTCATGGGTTAATATGTTTAAGTGGTCCATTAATAGGTAGGCAACAATGCAGTTACACTTGAAAGAGATTTCAGAGGGTTTCTAAGGCAGAAGTGGCTTTTACCTTAGAAATCTCAGCACTTACAGCTTCACATTAAGTAACCTTTTCTAAATTTACTCTTTCCTTTTGTTTTAACCTCTAAATTAAGTTTACTTTTAACTCTTTTTTTGCCAGCTTTGCTTTCCTCAAGACTTCTCTTGACAGATCCAGGGTGAATAATTGATAACTTCCAGAGTTTTGCCACAGTATAATTGTCCCCTTCACACACATTTTTTTTAAAAGAGGCACTACCTCTTCTTGCTATTAATTTAAAAAATTGTACTAATATTTTATTAACCTAAGTTTAGTGGGCCATTTTGGAATAAAGCAATCTCTTGATCTATTCATTGGGGGAAACTTTCAGGAATGATTAATAAGTATAGGAAAAGCAGGGTTTGGTTGGATGAAGTGATCTTTAGGACACAGACAAGACTTTTTAAAGTAAATCCCAAGTGCAAAGATGAGATAAATATTAAAGGCGCCAAACTTCAGATGTTTTCAGATCTAAAGGAGTCACGGAACTGATGAAATGATGAAGATGGAAGCTGAAGTATTTTAAATAGGAGCTTTACCTAATTGATGTGTCGCCGCGTTTTCAGATGCGGTGCTGATTGTGGGCGGGTGGGTGTCCGCGCGCGTATAGACACGCGCGCACGAACCCTCCCTGCGTTTTCTCGAGCGATAATAACCCAGGGCTGCCCTAAAATCGCGCTCGGCAGATATGAGCTTTAATTGCCAACTTAGCATCTTCGTCACACCTCCCGGCCCATTAGGCGCCGCAGCCTCACCTAGGCCTAACGGGCGAGCTCAGCGGCCTCAATGGCAAGCGCCTGATTATACAGCCAAGCTGCTAATTTAGCGAACCGCCCTGATCGGGTGGACTTGATGGACGCCACACGCCGGAGTCAGGCGCGCGCTCGGAGGAGGCACCGGAGGCTCCGCGGCTCCCACCCCCTCCGCCAACCGCCTCCCTGCGGAATGAGAAGCGGGGAATTAGCGGCGGAGGTGTGGGTAGGCAGGGAGCCCAGCAATTAGCGCCGAGATGCCGCCTGGCCTACCGAGGCGGGAGGAGGCGACGGTCGCGGCCGGCCACTCCCCGCCGACCGAGCAGTTCCAGCGACTGCATCGGTCCGCCAGGAAGCGCAAAGAGGTTCCGAGAGTGGGGGGCGGGCGGTGATTAAGCGTCCGGATCGTCCCTCTTGGAGGGCCGTCGATCTGGGCTGAAGCGCCCTAGCCTCGATCCAAGCGGGAAAGGCGCGAAGAAGGAAAAAGGCCTCGCGGCGACCGGTGCCAAACCAGGCCCTGCCTACGGCGGCGAGGAAGGGTATTCCAGCAGCCAGATCTCAAGCCGCCAGCGCCGAGCTGTAGCAGCCGGAAATCCTAGATTGGAAAGACCAGGTTTAGCCGCACTGGGGCGAGAAGGAAGGCCCCTTCCTCCGCCTTTGGACCGGGCGTCTCTTCGTTTTGGACAAAACCCGGCCCTGCATTTCTTCCGTGAACAGCATTTTGCACGGTCTGGCTGTTAAGGAAGAGGCGGGAAGAAGTGAGCCTTCCCCCTTTCCTACGTGCGTTCCGGTGCTTGACAAAATCCTG